TCAGGTTCCCTTCTGGCCATAAGGCGTTTTGATTCTCTAGGACAGAGTTATCACTCTGGGAGAAATTGGAGCTTAGGTTCTAGTTGAGAATCAGAGAGTGGAGGAGGCTGTATGTTTCACACAAAATTTTATAATGTTTTGTAGTGAAAAGTTTAATGGTTTGCTATTTTTTCATCATGACATCTGCATAAATATGTACTCCATGCAAAAAATCCAGTGTCTGAATAATTCTCAAGTGAACATGCTCCTGTTGGAGCAGGCATGACAGAATGACCACACCAAAATGCCATGTGCTCCATGTAAATCCATGGCTGATTCATGTCAATGTATGGCAAAAACCACTACAATATTATAAAGTAATTAGCCTCCAATTAAAATAAATAAATTTTTTTTAAAAATGCCACATGCTCAGAAGGGAGGGCCTTGTGGTTCCTTGTGGGCTCTTAATTATGGGACTTAGAGGCTTCAATCCTTGAAACTTTTATTAGACAATGGGTACCACACAATTTATCAAAAGTGATAGAAGAAATTTTAGTTGGTGAGTTTTATTAAAGTACCACAAATACAAAATGTGCACGAATTATTCAGTGTTAAAAAATATATTTTTCTAATCTAGAGAGTTCAAAACTCTAGGGAGGTGAAGTAAATGGTAAAGATTATAATTTTGTATTTTAGAAAGATGTGATGCAAACAAGTCAAAGAGTCCTTAGCTCACTTAGCAATGAAAGGGCTACAGTCTCCTTCCTGCCTCTTGCCCTGGAGTCACTTCTAATACATCACACCATGATGTTCTAAAAGAAAAATTACATATATAGAATCTAAAACATTTTTATATATTTATAGCTTAAATATTCAGTAACAAATGCTTAAGTAATTCTTCATGTCCTGAATATTCACTGGAAGGGCTGATGCTGAAGCTGAAGCTCCAATCCTTTGGCCAACTGATGTGAAGAGCCAACGCATTGGAAAAGATTCTGATGCTGGGAAAGATTGAGGGCAGGAGGAGAAGGGGACGACAGAGGATGAGATGGTTGGATGGCGTCACTGACTCAATGGACATGAGTTTAAGCAAACACAGGGACATGATGAACGACAGGGAAGCGTGACATGCTGCAGTCCATGGGGTCACAAAGAGTCAGACACGACTTAGAGAATGAACAAAGAGAACAAGAATTGTGTTCAAAGAAAATCTGAAAAAAATCCAAGTTGAACAAATTCAAATAGGTTTTTCTATGGAAAGATTTCTCTGAGCCTCTAATATGTTAAAGCTCAATGTTAATTTTATTTACTATCTAAATGTTTATTAATGGGAATTATAGTTTTTAATATAAATCTTCTTTGCCTGCTGTAAATAAACCCAATCTTGTCTGGGTACATTTTCTTAATACATATTGGATTTGATTTTCTAGTTTTTGAATATAAATTATTTTTAGAACTTTTACACCTATATTATAAAGTAAAATTGACCTGCACATTTTCCTTTTACATGGCTTTTTTGGTTTTGGATAGAAAATGAGTTGGCTATCCCTCTTTTTCTGACGATTAAGAAGAGTTTATTAAATTAAAAATTAAGTATACTCTACATTTTGAACAATTTGGTAGACATCACCTATATAATCACCTGATTCTATGGTTTTAATTGAGATTTTTATTACTTACCTGTTTTTGAAGACTAATTTAATTATTTTAATACTTACAGAATTATTCAAGCTTTTAATTCTCTTTAGATCTCTTCTACACATTATATTTTCTCAGGAATTTGGCCATTTCAACTCAGATTTCAGAGTTGGGCCATTTCAACTATATCATAAGAATATAGTTGTTGATAGTGTTGCTATTATCTTTTTAATTTCTCTTTAGAGGAGGGACCTCTTTTCTCTCATAGTGTTATTTATTTGTCTCTTCCTTCTCCTGATTTCCTTTGTGGGATTTTTATTTTCATGTATTCCAATTCTGGATTATTGGATCCCACATCTGACTTTCATGTGTCTACAGTATAGTCCACAATTCTAGTCTCTCCTCTGGATTATGAACACCAGCATCCTGCATGGTCCTCCATCTCACTTCCTCCTTGGGCTGGGATTTCCCTGATTCATTTTGGATCAGACACTTCCCACTACTGCAGGAATAGGCTCTAAGCCAATCCTGTCTCAGTCAGAAAACATATACTCAGGATGGAACCAAGCAAGTCTCTGAGTCTCGGGAGCTACTTTCCATCTTCTCCTGACTTGTCTGCACCTCACACAGTGGCCTTGCCTTTGGAGCTTTATATTCTGTACAATGCCATCACCTGCACCTGGCCAAGGTTCAGACCCTCCCGTGCTTCCTCCTGGCCTGCATCTACTCAGCTATTATCCAGGCTTGGCCACCCCTGACACCTTCCACCTCAAAAATAGTCCACTCCGTTCTCTTCTTCTACTATTTGTGTCTGTAAAGGGGTGTGAGCCACTGAGACAGAGATGAGACGATTTCAGAAGGAAAAAGGGAAATGGCAGGCACTGGGAATGGGTGCTTGAAAAGTGTTCTCCTGACACTGAAAATAAAGGCCTGAGGCTGAGACTTGGGATTGACCATTCTCTCATGTCAATCTTCTCATGGAACATGAGCAGCTATCATGTCCCTACTAGGCCTCCCAGGTGGCTCAGTGGTAAAGAATCCTGCTAATGTCAGAGACATGGGTTCTATTCCTGGGTCAGGAAGATCCCCTGGAGAAGGATCCATGGGCTTTCAAAAGAGTTGGGCACAATTGAGCGTCTGAGCATGGTATGTCTCTACTTAAAAGTAGGTTGAATCATTTTAATACAAAAATGAAATTTTTAAATGAAACAATCTTTTGAAATTTTCTGACATATTTTAAGCAGATTTTTCATTCTGCATCATGTACTTTCTACCTAATCTCTGACATGCCACTCACTCACATCTAAGAAATATGAGATACTGTACTGCCTGGTAACTGGATAAGCCTCTCTGGCTGTCTGTGTGCCCAAAGTTCCCTTATGATTTTCTAATGCCTGCACTTCATCTTGATATGGCTTAGTACCCATGTGACAACAAAAGTCAGACGGTTTATTTCCTTACCCTTGACATCATTTTGTCAAATGCTGATAGCAGATGTAAATATGAAAAGGCCCTAACTAAAGTGACTGTGATAGTTATTCAGTAATTTTTTCCCATTTTTCTCCTTTCATAAGTTGGCAAAGGATCTCATCAGTCAAAGCCTCAGAAAGAAAATTCTCCAATTCTTTTAAACTGTTTAACAAAGGCTATGTCATTTTTAATCTCCTATGCAGGGATCAATGCTAAAAGGAATAAATAGATAACTTTCCCTGAAGAAAACTGATATCAAATGCATCTAAAATTCATCTCTGGTTTGGTATCAATCATTTGCTTAATTATCACCATCTTCAGGGCTCGTTGAATTAGAGGCAAGACCATAGTGACAGAGAATGTAGAAGGCGCCCTTTGTTCCCTGAGCTAAGGGCTGTTCTGCTGTATCTCTCCCTATTATTTGTTACATCTAACAATCGGGAGGTGAATGTGCTTAATAGGCTTTGTGAAAAGCTTCATTTCTTTTTTCTGAAGGAAGCTATAGCTCTGGACTTGTCTCCTCATGCACTCCACCTTTTGACAGCACTGAGCCTTCATTTAAGAAAGAAGTTTAATTAATGCCCTTGGATATACTGTTAACCTTTGAAATGGTTTCCTGATGCATGGAGGCCCTTTCTCTCCTGCCAGGAATTGATTTTAGAAATGGCCCTGCCTCCTTATGCTTTGAGATTCAGAGAAAGGAAGAGACCATGAGAAGTGTAGCAAGGCTGGTATAAGAGCCCCATGAAGTACAGCGATGAAGCGTTTGCATCTGTATCTGGAGACTACAGATCACTGAAAATGTGGGAAATCAGCTACAGAGATGATGGTCTTATGAAGAGGTTATAGTATCATCCCACTGAAACAGAACCACAACACTGAAAATACAAGGCAAGTTTCAAAGAAACTAAAGAAAGGCCCTCAAATTTCTAGTAAGATAATAAAGTGTTTTTTGTTGTTTTTTTTTTTTTTTTTAATGTCATAGACTCTGGAGACACAGAGTGGGGGAGGAAGGACACAACTTTTAGGCTAGGAAATTTTATTGTATTTTCCTGGCATGGCTCCCAGAGTCCTTGGCAAAGAAAAGGATGTCAAAGAGTTATTCTTCAGAGGCTTTTTTCTGTTAATGTAGTTATTATTCAATGTACAGTTGTTTAATGGGACAGATGCTATTTAATTAACTGCTATTGTAGAAAAGTGATTTTTTTTCCCCAAAGCGGAAGCAGTGTTTGGGGGCAAAGGGTGTGGTGAGAAGGACTGCAGAAGATTCTTTGCGTCTGTGCTTGCTTACTCCAATAGTAACTCTTGGTATAATTAAACTACTGTGGCCCTCAATTTGTTCATGCGTCAGGAAGATTCCCTGGAGGAGGAAATGGCAAACCACTCCAGTATGCTTGCCTGGGAAATCTCATGGGCAGAGAAGCCTGGTGGGATACAGTCCATGGGATCACAAAGAGTCAGATGTGACTTAGTGACTAAACACACACATACACACACACACAAACATATATGTGTTTCCATGGTAGCACAGTCAACGGAGACGCCACAATTTTGTCATCTCAATTACCACCTTCAGAAGAAGACCATATTGGTCTGTTTGCATGGAAGTTACCAAAAATACAGTCGGCCGCTGATAAAAAATAAATGAAACTTTGTTCTCAGTTATATTATTATCACTTCAGTTTTTCTGAACTTCACTTATGAAACTTATTTGTCTTCTATATTAATGATAGATTGCTTATTGAATTAATAAGGACCAAGCAATAAAGATCTGAGGACAACAATTTGGAGCCCATTGGACTATAAAACAATCCCATTTTCTCAATCAAATTGCCAAGTGTTACACTGTCTATTGCCTAAAAACAGGGGTATGCTTGAGGCTACGTTAATGTACCCTCACAGTTTTAGCCGCCATGGCACATTCTGAGGAAAATGTTGAAAACCGGCTAGCAGTGACTAGGCCAGTGCCTCCAGCCCCCTCAGTCCTCACTAACTGGGGGCCACAGCGAAGCCCTTCTGGTGACCAGGTCACCCCTCGGCTGGTGAGGACCACTCAGCCAAGAGCTGCTTTGGCACGCATCCGCTTGGAAAGGCCTCCTCAGACGAGTGCAGCCCGAGAGATGTGGCCCGGCCAAGAGCTGTTCACATGCGGTTCTGAGAACATTCGAAAGCCAAGTGAGTTACACCCAATATCTTATTTCTCTGGTATGGCTACGGAACAATAGTGTCCTGGAACACAAAACTTTTGGCTCTCAGTAAAAACAAGATTTTATTCTTCCCCAAGTGTTCCCAGATTTTATCCTAGTAGGTCCTAGAGGGGACTTCCCAGGCAGCACTAGTGGTAAAGAAACCACCAGCCAATCCAAGAGATGCTAAAGACACAGGTTTGACCCCTGGGTTGGGAAGATTCCCTGGAGTAGAAAATGGCACCCCACGCTAGTATTCTTGCCTGGAAAATTCCATGGGCAGAGGAGCCTACTGGGCTACAGTCCATGGGGCAGCCAAGAGTCAGACATGACTGAGCACACCCACGCAAGTACTAGAGAGTAGGTGTTTAACACAGGTAGATGGAAACTTTAGGCTTTGTCCTTTCGGCTGAGTCGGCAAATGCTTTGCACACTGACCTTTAGGCAGCGGTGCAGGGCTCATCCATCTGAGAAGGGGTGACGCTGAATAGCAAACGGAGCCGTGCCTGGGGCTCTCGTGAAGGAAGGGAGTTTTTCATTGTGGCCTATCATTTGTTCATAGTACAGGCTCGCTTCAATATGAACAAAGTGTTCATTACGAAAATTGAAAAATGAATGACTTACAAGACACTGTGGATATAAATATTATGCCCTTTTTAACTGACAAGTGAAATGAAGCCGGGAAAGATGAAGTACAGTCCCACAGGCCACACGGTCAGTGAGAGAAGCATACTTCAAAAGTTTCGCTTTTGAGTCCCCGTCAGCATTCACCTTCTACATCAGGTGCCGCTTTTTCTTCTCTTGGCTTCCATGTTGACTAATTGGGGTCCTTTGAGAAGGAATTTCTTTAAAGATAGGAGAATTGAAGAATCCTCAGGAAACATTCTCTTTTATAAATCTCGATTTAAAATTAATAGAAGATGCTATGAAAGCCAAAAAGAAAATGAAATGTGATTAATTAAGCATGTAAACTAACCAAAGAGATGTGTAGCCATGTTAATAGCATATTAGCCGTCATGGTCGATTTGTGAAACTTTTAAAAGTTATATATGACAGAATTACAAATGAGGCAACAAGAATTACCTCTTTTGCAGTGATGATGGTATATGAAAGGCAGGTACACGCCAAAGGAATATAATTTAGATTTCTAGCTAACACCCTTCATACTCAGAAAATCTACAAAATGCTTTCAAAAGAATGATTTAAATAGGGAGAATGAACACTTTCTCTAAAAATATGTCTCTATGTTCTAAGCATATCTCCACAGCCTTAGTATTGGAATGTGATTCAGATGACAAGTTTATGTATGCACATATAACAAAAGATTCATTGTTGAAATGCACCAAAATTAGAAACGGAACTGAATCTCAACAAAAATTAGCCACTTTTCTGTATAAAACTGGCATTTCTAGGGATAGGTTCATATTTGTGATATATTTGATATCATCTAACAAAATTCTAAGAGGAAATGGCAACCCACTCCAATATTCTTGCCTAGGAAATCCCATGAACAGAGGAGCCTGGTGGGCTACAGTCCATGGGTCGCAAAGAGTCAGGCATGACTTAGTGACTAAATAACAACAAAATTCTACCGATAGGATTAGCCCTTAACACCCAAATATCCAACCCAATAAAATACTACAGCAATAGTCTTTTGCTCTACAACTAATTCTACATTTCTTCTTACAGTCCTTTGTTTAAATATTGTATAGAATAAGAAACTGCTGACAAAAATAAACTAAAACCAAGTCTTTTAGGGTCAGGTGAGGAAGACTGGAATTGAATTATTATGATCCACTTTACCTAAAAACCATTTAGGAGCCACTTAATAAAGTTTGTTCAGCTTTCAATTCATAAGCTGTGTTAGGAAATATCTCATAGAAAGAGGATGCCTCAAGGTCTGGATAACAGGGGTCAAGTGAAACCATATTTTTCCCCATCACTGGGAAAATGACCACAGTGACTGTAAGATCCAGACTGTCAACAAACCAGTGCTTTTAGAAACCTCTGCATAAGAATGAAAGTTCACACACACATGAAAGCCATACATAGAACATCCCTCAGAAGAGTTACCCTCTTGGTCCAGAGGACCCAAGTTTGGTCAGACCTGAGAAATACCACAAAAGCTCCTAAAAACAGAACTTAAGGGTTACCCTGAAATATGTCTATAGAGACTATGATTCGGACTTCCCTGGTGGCCCGGTGGTTAAGAATCCGCCTGCCAATGCAGGGCACACAGGGTCAATACCTGGTCTGGGAAGATTCCACACACTTCAGGGCAGCTAAGCCGACAAGCCACAACTACTGAAGCCTGTGCACAACCTAGAGACCGCGCTCTGCGACAGGAGAAGCCCCCACAATGAGAAGCCTGCACATCGCAACTAGAGAGTAGCCCCTGCTTGCCACAACTAGAGAAAGCCCACGTGCAGCAGTGAAGACCAAGCATGGCCAAAAATAAATAAAAAGTTTTTAAAAAGAGTATGATCCCACTTTCCTATAGTTTATACTAGAATCCCACTTGCCCCCATGTCCACTCTTACGCTTCACTTCCTTCTCTGTGTTCCCCATGCCAAGCACAGACATACAATTACCTTTGAGAGTCCCCGGTTCTAGATTATTTCCTTGGGGGAATGAAAAATGGCAAGTGACAAAGGGCAAAGATATGTCAATATGCAATAGACATGTTGTACTATGCACCACCCAGTGTAACTGACACGGAAACAGAGCCACACCGCATTTCATACATAGTAACTGCAAATCCCCTTGTTGCATATGCTCTATGGGTAGAGTCATCTTGGTCTTCAAAAGTCTGCGTTTGATGTTTAGCCCCTGTGGGCTCATCCTGTTTAAACTCTCTTAATTTTACTCATAAAACTGATAACATGCAGTATTATGTTCTATAAAATGCTGTTGTTTCATGGAAGCCAAATTCTGTGGATATCTTATGTTCTTAATTCTCCTTTCTGTTGTCTAGTCACTAGGTCAAGACTCACTCTTTGTGACCACATAAACTGCAGCACGCCAGGCTTCCCTGTCCTTCACTATCTCCCAGAGTTTGCTCAAATTCATGTTCATTGAGTCAGTGATACCATGCAACCATTTCATCCTCTGCCACCCCCTTCTCCTTTTGCCCTCAATCTTTCCCAGCATCAGGGGTTTTTCCAATGAGTTGTCTCTTTGCATCAGATGGCCAAAGCATTGGAGCTTCTGCTTCAGCATCAGTCCTTCCAATGAATATTCAGGGTTGATTCCTTTAGGATTGACTGGTTTGATTTCCTTGCTGTCCAAGGGACTCTCAAGAGAAGACTCAAGCATCACAATGCAAAGGCATCAATTCTTTGGCACTCAGCCTTCTTTATGGTCCAACTCTCATGTCTGTACATGACTACTGGAAAAACCATAATTTTGACTATTGGGACCTTTTTTGGCAAAGTGATGTCTTTTTAATATGCTGTCTAGGTTTGTCATAGCTTTTCTTCAAGCAAAAAGCATCTTTTAATTTCATGGCTACAGTCACCATCTACAGTGATTTTGGAGTTCAAGAAAATAAAATCTGTCACAGTTTCCACTGTTTCCCCTTCTACTTCCATGAAATGGTGGGACCAGATGCCATGATCTCAATTTTGTAAATGTTGAGTTCCAAGCCAGCTTTTTTTTTTTCACTTTCTTTCAGCCTCACCAAGAAGCTCTTTAGTTCCTCTTTGCTTTCTGCCACTAGAGTGGTATCATCTGCATATCTGAGGTTGTTAATATTTCTCCCAGAAATCTTGATTCCAGCTTGAGATTTATCCAGCCCAGCATTTCACATGATATACTCTGCATATAAGTTAAATAAACAGTAATAATATACAACCTTGCCATACTCCTTTCTCAATTTTGAACCAGTCAGTTTTGCCATTTAAGATTCTAACTATTGCTTCTTGACCCACATACAGGTTTCTCAGAAGACAAGTAAGGTGGTCTTGTATTTCCATCCCTTTAAGAATTTTCCAGTTTGTTGTGATCCACACAGTCAAAGGCTTTAGCATACTCAGTGAAGCAGAAGTAGACATTTTCTGAAATTTCCTTGCTTTCTTTATGGTCCAATGGATGTTGGCAATTTGATCTCTGGTTCCTCAGCTTTTTCTGAATTCAGCTTCTACAGCTGGAAATTCTAGGTTCATGTCCTGCCGAGGCCTAATTCTCCTTGCCCCATAAGAATTAAATGTCTATTTCCTTGAATGCTCTAGCTTTAAGCACTTGAATTCTATTTATCTTCTACCATAGAAGGTTGACATACTCTCCTTTCCTGAATTAGGTTTATATATATATATGTATTATGTTCATAATTCCAACTCTACGTGCTAAGCAAAGGAGATCCTGTATGAATATACACTTTGAAACCAAGCCTTGTAGTATTACAATGTCTCCAGGTATTTATTTGTGTATAACAGCTAACTACAAAGTAAGGTTAGAAAGGTAAGGTAGATTATTGGAAGAAGAAAGATTTATTATTTTATCACTTTAGTTATATATTTTTCAGCATCCAAATGACATTAGTCTCATGATTTTAAAAACTAGCAAGTGTTAAATAATATATTAGGAGCATTTGAGAAATAAAAAAGATTCTAGTAGCTAATAACTCTTTAAAAGCTCAATTTAATGCCTCTAGAGCACTTACTGTTGGATTAATCAGACAATTTTAATCAGTATATTCAATATACATTGTTTATTAACACATATTTCTTCAGGATTAACGTCCACATTTTGCAATTAACACATACAACATCAGCATTTACAATCTGTCTGGCACCCCACAATTCATATTATGTGTAACCTTTACTAAAAAGCTCTTTTCTCAGGCTTCTCCCGTGGCTCAGTGGTAAAGAATCCACCTGCTAGGGCAGGAGTCACGGGTTCGATCCCTGATCTGGGAAGATCCCACGTGCTGTGGAGCAACTCAGTCCATGTGCTGCCACTATTGAGCCTGCGCTCTCGAGCCCGGAAGTC